AATCGTGCCGTCCATTCGGGACGGTCGCTTCGTAGCGCGCAAGCGCGCTGCCACCCGCCGACTCAGCCGTCCCCGACGCGAAGCGCCCGCAGCTCACGGACGGGTTGCAGGCAGTGTTCGGGGCGTCGGCTGAGCGACCGGGCGTCTCTGCCCACCTGTCGCGCGCGGCGCCGGCCGCGGCCGGCCGGGCGCGTGATTTGTCTGATGGGCGCCCGGACTGGCGTCGCTGCGTGCGACTCAGGCCTGCGCGGGCGTACCGGCGGACTCTGTCGCCCGCTTCCGTTCGCGCCCTCTCGGCGTAGTGACATACGCCCTGCCTCTTCTTCCTTTCATCCCCTTCTCACCAGTCCACGTTTCGCTCCGACCGAACTTTTTTCCCTTCCGCAGTTGCCTTCCAGCCCGCAAGTGTTTCATCTTTTCTTGGACAAGGCGTGCGCCGTAGGATATGTGATTTTTCCCAAACGTAAGCTGTGTTTTCGTGTCAAATATTGTGATTTCGCCTGTCTGGCGGATGGATTGTCTTAGCGCTGTGTGTCCGCAGCGAGCGAGCTCAGTCACCTGCGCGCGGCCGTCGCCCCTGCCCGGCGCCCGAGGGAGGACCGCTACTTGGGAGAGTCTGCCCGCTGCACGTGTCCGTCGCCGCGCCGCAGCCGCCGCAGCCACCGTCACCATGGTGCTTCGAGGGCGCCTGATCCTCGTCGTGGCTGCTGTCGGCGCCATCCTGCAAGGTAAGCGTGCCCGTCGGCTCACCACGCGCCGCTGACAGCGGTCGCGCTGCGCTCCGGCACCCGGCCGCTGACGGCCGCCTTCTCAGTGCCAGTGACGGTGGAATGTTCTCCGATTAAAAGGAGGGCAACGCGTGACATGTGATGTGCATCAACGACTGTCTGATGAATTTAAAAGAACTTGTGAAATAATTTAACGTGAACATTGGTGGCTGTTTTAAATAAGTTGTTGCTTCTAAATCTTGGGCGTTCTTCTTACGGGATTGGCCAATTAAATGACGATATAATGGGTGTTTCGTATCCGAAAGGATTTTTTCACACCTTTCGTGACAGTAACTACTTATGTCATCGAGTTGTAACGTTACAGATGGTTCTATTAGTAACTTAGCTGGATTTCACCGAGGCACAACTATCGCAATGAGGAAACTGAATTTTTCGGTTCTGAGTAGCGCTGCATATTCGCTTTTGGGCGAAGCTGGTCAAGTGTGCCACCCCGGCGGGCATCCGCGGCTCCGCCTCCGCCTCTTCCTCCGCCTCCACAGCCGCTCTGGCGCGGCCTCGCGGCTTCCGGCGCGGCGAGGTCCGTCCAAAGTTAAAATTAATATTTTGCTTCATCATGTCCAAACTCGCAGTTTCGTATTTTAGCCCCATGGCTACCAGCAGTAAAACGCCGCAGAGGAGGTCCATTCAACATTCATAGCCGAAAGGAGGCGGGGCGGTGTGCTGTGCGGTGCGGCCATGCGGGCGCCGCCGCCGCCGCCGACCACGAGCCTCCGCGCTGGCCCCGCGTCGCTGGCCGCGTGGCGTCGCCGCCGATTGCCCGCCGCCGAAGGCGCCAAATCGTAACGCGCGGCAGTGGCCGGCGTGGGGCCGTACGGCGCTGGCGCCGGGGCTGGCGCTGGCGCGCGCACGCATAATAAAAGCGGCGCGCTGCACTCCGCCTGCAACTGAGGACACCAAGTTCTCATGACTTCGCAAGTTATCGTGTTGATTCCCTACATCTTTCGAACGCTCTTGCGGAACTTCCGATCGTGTTTCGGTTAGCTCGAGGAACGAACGGTCTTTATCCCTCGTGTCTTGGTTCTGTCATAAACTGTGCTTGGGATCGCGTTTCAATTGCGAGAATAAATCAACAGTACCAAAGTATGTAAAACTGCCATGTTGGCATTGGAAACTTTCGCTCCGGATTCTCCAAGATAGATTCTATCGAGACTACTGGGGGAGTAAATCAAACATGACTTATTCTAATAAATCATTAATATAGTTGGGTAATAACACTACCTCTAACAAATGAGTCAAACTGTGGTTTTATTACGTTACCTGGAAATTTTCTCTAGCAACGACCACGGTCGTCTGGCTCCCAATTCCGCGGAAGGAAAGCCGAGCATGGTGAGTGCGGCGGTTCTGCTTCGTACGAGATACCTCCTGCCGCGCAGTTTGTTTCGCTGCCGCGGATACTGGCGACGCTCCCTTGAGTAATATGTACGTGCGCCCCCTGAGCATTTGTCGTGTTGGGTAGGAACTTTGAAGACTTTGTTTATTATGTTTGGCGAACTTTACGTCCGTGGCGCAAGGACTACTTTCATTTTATGAACGAAGGAGAACTTGGGCGATTAATGGCTCGAGAGCCGTGTAGCGGGTTTTCTAGTTTATGCAGAGAATTCGATTGAATTTAATCGGAATGTAGAGTTCGTGATCGTCCTACTTGCCTGTTTTTATTCAAAATCGATTGGCAATTTGAACTGGAAGTTGGGTTTCGTGTTGTAATCGCTAATCATAAAGGGAATACGCGAGTAAATTACAGGCTTCTGAGCTTTCGTTCTATATTTATAGGAAAATGGTATTCCGTCGCTGTGGAATAGTTCTCATTCATCAACGTTGGCGATACGCGCTGCAAAATAAACGCGCGGAAGAAGAGTGGAGTCTGAGGCGCAATCGCGAAAGGCCGCCCCTGCGGGCGCCCGTGGGCCTCGAGGTCGCGGGGCAGCTAACGAGGCGGCCGGCTCGCCGGAGTCCCTGGCGGAACAAGGCGGGAAGAGGCCGCTGGCCCACGTACTCTCCCGTTCGCCAAGCCGTCCGCCTGCCCAATCGCCCCGCCACTGGCCTACCTTCCCTCACTCGCGATGGCGCGGGGTGACGCGCAACACAGCCACGGGAGCCAGAGGCGGCGGTGGGTGCAACGCGCTTCGGTCGTCTGCCCCGGCTGTCTTCGGCACGAAATGCAGTTGCTTTTAGCGATTTAGATACAGCGAAAGAATATCTGTGATATCATGTATGGCAATGTTCTACAAAATCCACTGTATACACAGTGCACAATAGGTTGGCTCATTGCGGTGGCTGGTATGATGGTTTCCAATGGTAAATTATTTGGTTCAAAATCTGGTCTCTTCTTGTGGATTTTGTCGTGAACAAATGGGGTTCGAACTGGTATCTTGTTTTTTTCGGCACTAAGGCCATCATTTCATCATTTTATTTATCATAATCTTTTACCCTCTCAGTGACTATTCTAAGTATGCGTTCCAATTCGGGTTTAGCCATAAATAAAAAAATAAATTGGTTGGAGGTCAGCGCGACGGTCCAACGAGCGAGAGCCGTAGAAGGAAAATTTACTCGGCCAAGCAGAGCGATTGCAGATATAAATGCTTCTTCACTACACATCGTTTACACATGTTTTTGTTAAATCTCTCACTCTCTTGATTTGTTTCTTCCGAGTGAAAATTTTATTCAATTTACCTGCCTCATAAGCAATGCATTTCTTCCCAAAATTCAACCGTAGAAGGAACATTTTCTTTGTAAAGACTGTTGAAAATGTTCCTTGCGGGGCGTGGAAACTACTACGACAAATTCAACATTTCGAAGAGGTCTGCCTCGCGTGGTTCGAGAGGGCAAACGGAAAATACATCCGGAGCGAGGACAATCGTCAGCTACGTTTTTATACACAATAAAGATACTAACGTGTCAATGCAGCAGCGAGAGACTGTTTGCCAACATTCAGAGTGATATGAGAACCAAAGTGTGGTAGTTTAGCGACATATGGTATGGGGATCAGATAATCGAGTAAAATGATTCAGCATAGTGTTTACTGTCAGGTGTAAAAAGTAAGATATTTTCGAAATATTTTAATTTTGAGGCGACTGTATCCCATCGTAACAATGGTTATAAAAGAAACAAAGGCAAATAATTGTAATTTATAAACATCTGTGCTAGAAATGTTACTAATTATGTTTGAGTTAATCATAGGTCATATGCTAAATACTTTTAATCTCTTTTTACTCACTAATATGCTTTGGAATGAAAAAATAGTTATCTGGGAAATATGAAATAAGGCATTTGCCCTAAATTTTCATTTTATGTAATATTATATTTTATGTAATATTACTTTGTGATTCGTTCGTGTCTCCATTTTATGTCATTTGATCTTGAAACGAGGATGAATTAGCCATGAAAGTGGCAGGGCAAATGACAGAATATGTATATCAAGTAGCTATTAGATATCATTTATGCAATAAATAAGACAATAATACCTACTTTGATACATAGAGTAAATCATACCCAATAACTCGCCACATTGCGCTTTACTGGGAAGTCGACGTATTGAGAATGTTTTCTGCAGCCGGGAGCTCTCCCGTCGGACGCCATGGCCTATCCGTGTTGAACGCCGCGGGCACAAGTTGCCGGACCGCCAAGTGCAGTGGTATTGGGCGGCTCATTTCGCCGAGAAGCCGCGTCCGCATCGGGAAACAAAGGCGGGGCGGCCCTCGCACCTTGCGAGGAGCGGTGAACGTATTGACGTCGGGTAAACGATCTCGTATCGTAAACGGTGCGGCGCGGGCGAAAGGCGCGGCGCGGCGGTGGGGCGCCAGGGGGAGGCAGTAGGGGGCGGGGCGCTCCTTCCAGGGCGGCGAACAGCGGCGTGGAGGCGGGGCCCCCGCGGCCCGGCCGCCCGCCCCCCGCGCCGCACCGTTGGCCGGCCGCTGCCGCCGCCGCCGCGCTCGTGCGCCATCTTTCAGAGCGCTGATTTGCATTTAAAGTAAATGTTACACCAGATAGCTTGCATATTATTGTAACTTTTAACTTCTAATACTTTTCCAAATTTATAGAACGGGCGTGAATTGTATTAGTTCCTTCCCTCGTTGTGACTTGACTTTCCTTAAGCCCTTGTTCTAATTAAAATCCACTATTAGGCTCATGCAATTTAATTTAATACTAAGTAATAGACCCTCGTTTGTAATTACAATTACACTGCTGAGTTTCCTAATCTCCGTTCTTAATATAATGGGTGTGAAACATACATATTCCGGGTAGTGTAGTCGGGTCTAACAGAGAATATTCAGCCATGCCTACCTCCTGCACGTGAACAATCGCGCTGGCTATTGTCGTTGGGCTTTTGTGGGATCGTTTTCACTTGTATCCGCAGTCCCGAGTTATGGAGAATCCATTTTTTATTCGCAATAATTGTGCAAAATAAAGGAATGCTGATGTCTCCTCGATGTCTCTTTCCTTTTCTCACTTTGTGCTTTCAGTTCTGGGCCGTTTGCTGCTTATCGTCGATGAGCAAAAAATTTCTCTTTGATCAATATTTTGGAATAATTTTACGCAAAGTGAGCAATTGTGAGGGCGCATTTTCTCTCATTAGCAAGGAATGAAATCTTGAGATCAGAGGAAATAAATAATGTGGACTTTACTCAATATTACAATATCTGTCTCGTTTCAACTCTCATTCTCCATACCTGTCCATAAAACAGAATATAACACGTTTGCCTGTTTTAAGGACTTTGTGAGATGAGTATATTCTTATTGATCAAGTTATCATTTTGTCTTTAAACTTTTTACGGATGTCTTAACGTAGAGAGTGGAATCGAGGTTTGCGAAAACATACATATGATCCTCTCTTTGTTTACATGTATATGTTACAAATGTTATGTTAAAAATTGAACTAATCAGATTCAATCTGTCTTTGTTTGGAAACTATATCTTTACAAAATAGTGTAAAACAATTCGTTAACAAGAACTCTTTGCGAAACAAGAATCAACATACCAAATATCGTAGGGATTGTGAGTTCCATAATACAGAGCCAAAACATTAATGTAATCATCCACCAAATGGAACGAGGTAAAATTAACAAGAGAAATTAAAACATCGATATTCATGGTAAAGGTAATTACAAATATTATTCAATATATCTGCTAATTTATAAACGAATATTCGGCGATGCCCGTCTTGATAAGGAAGAAATGGATTTCAATTCAAATATAATGTCAACGGAATTGTGTTTTCTCTTTCTGTTGAGAATTTTAGGATCAAAATGAGAACGTTTTTATGCCCAACGTTGTAAATTTGCTGTTAAAGCGAGCACGTTGTGCAGCATTTCATTTTTTTTTAATGTTGCCAGTGTTTCACTGTCATTTTACCTTCCGTGTTGGGTAACGCTCAGTGGTGGAACGTGTGAACAACTGACCTGGAGGTAATATTAGGGGAACGCACAGTTAGAACAAGAAGTAATCAAAATGAATGCCCACATATTACTCCAAACCCTAGTACTACACAATTAACTTTCCGCGTAATGTAAATTTAGTTATTATCGGCGTCAACGCTCTTCACCGTTCGTTACAGCCAAGTAATTTTATTTATCTTGACTATATTTTAACCAGCTCCCATTGTGCTTGCTTTAGTAAAGGAAATACAACACACGGTTTCTCATAATTACGTTTTATCCTCACGGTTTCTCAAGCAATTGTAATTGTGAAGTGTAACAACACTTTCTTATAAAACGTGGCTTTTGTTTTTAATGAAGATATAGGAAGTCAAATGAAAGAATTACTTTTTACCTTGCAGATAATTTGACAAAAGAGAGGTATTCAAGACTACAAATATTCTACACACTATCCTTGCATAATATATTGGTCACCGCTATCTCATATTCATGAAATTTCCTGGTCACAATCAAGCGATATCTCGTAGTAAGGGACATGCGTAGAAAACTCGACAGAACATTAGTCTGTTGATTGGAAATTATTCTTGGCAAAGTCAAAAACATCATGCGCAAAGTGCAGTACTTTACATTGTGACCAGATACGTGTTGTATTTTGATTTTCACACTTTTTTTTATGAAAATTAACTAAATATTTCTCATGTTAAATTGTGAAGATATAAAATGGTTTTAACATCTTGTCTATAAAATACAAATTATTTGTAGAATTTTTCCTTTTTTTTGATGATATAAAATGGGTTTATTCATGCTCCCTCCGTTTAACATGATTTTGTTTATGGGCAATATCAAACGATATAAGTATTCGTATGAGGAATGTAATTTCGTAGGGGAAATGGCGCATTGTGAGAAGTAAAATAGCAATCGAGGGTATTGCTGATTTAAACACTTGTACGTGCAAAAATAACCTGTGTTTTTCGAGACTTTTTGGAAAAGAGGAGAAAAGTGATTTGTCAAAATTATCGAATATATGAACACAGGAATACTCTTAATACCAACACTTAAATATTGAAACATGATTCTTCTCTGTCGTGCGGCCATTACTACACGTCTTTGTGGACTCTTTAAGTAAGTAATGAACTAAAGACCCCTAGCTAAATAGTAAATTTACAACTACATTTAATTCATGATCTTCGTGGTTTTCAATAATGGTAAAAAATTTAAATAAACTTTCATAAAAAAAGAAGAAATCAAGAGGTGACGATGTAACTAGGACAAGTATAAATCATTCTGATTAACCGTTGAGACCATTGAGATTAACCATTGAGAACATTGAAATTGTGACTTCTAGGCTGTCCGCGTCGTTGGAAGATAGGCCGACGTTTTCCTGTCATGTCGCGGGCTTCTTCAGGGTAGTGACACAGTAAAGCTCCGCCTCCGGTGTTATATCTTCTTCAGCCTAGGGGCTCTGGTAACGCAAGTGCGCCGTGATTGGCGGACAGTCTAGACGTCATGAACTCGAGCCGCGGAAGCCTACGTGTACCATTGAAATTATGTTGAAGAAATGTTGAACTGAAATTGTTGAAAGGACAGATAAAGAAGGTACTGACCCTTCGACGTATATTTTCACTATATCTCGTGACCAGCATTAGCGTCACTGCTCATTAGCCGATTTTCTAGCGGTGTCTTAGTTTTGTACATAGTTCGTACTAGTAAGGTAATAAAAGTATTCACTACAGTCACTACATTAGCATGTCCCAAAGAGAATATGCGTTCTATTGTCACAGTGCACCAGTTATTCTGTGATAAACATGTGCAATTTTTCATCGGTGTATTCGACTGAAAACTACACTGAAAACAATGATCATCCCTCTCTCAACTAATAAACCTTAGGTTGTGTCTTCCAGTGGTAACTATCGATTTATACAATGTGATAATAATCATGATTTGTGACGTACCGGTGGTTAATTGTCAATACTTACCAACCCTAGACGTTGAGACGTACCTGAGACTTATAACCACTCTATTAATTCACATTACTTTCTCAATGGTTCCCGCTAGTGAGTTCCCGCTAGTCCCATTTGTGAACGCTGAGGGAGCCCCAATGCCATCTATTTGAGGCGTTTAGTATGGTAATGTTGCGCAACCTTCTTTGGCGGTACCTACTCTCATGCATAGGCCAGAGATCGGGGGACGCGGGCTCTGAGAAGGTTTGTAGTGTTGAGTGTGAAATAGTTCATCAATGGAAATTATGCTCCTGAGAGAATGCTCATCTTTTAAGTTTACAAAGGATGTAATAATAAAATGAGTATCTGCTGCAAGCAGAATTTTTTTTCATTAGACTGTCTAATTACAATCAGAGGTAAGCGGTAAAATGTGAGATTATTGTTCATTATACTGTTCTCGTATAAAATATCTAATTTTATCGTATAATTTATGATTCGTTACATGTTTAGCATTTTGCGGAACACGAATGTGTGTGTGAATCCATTGCCTAGTTTTGAAACGTTGCGAGTAAATTTGTAGTTATATAGAGAAAATTTGTTATACCACTACCTGAAGTGTGTTTGTCAGAGACGTTGCTGATTAATTCATTAAAAACTGGCAGAAAATATTACACATGCAGAATGTTTATAAAAAGGGGAACGACAAGATGATGTGCAACGTGATGTTGGACGTGTGTTTTGAATTGATTTGAATTGGACATCACAGATCCTTGGTAGGCCCTATTTGATGTCACCTTATGGTGTCTTTCTTTTGTGTTGTGCTTGTGAATTTAAGAAATTCTGGCAATTTTATTTTGTTCTGTGCTGTGTTACACATCTGCATTCACATTAAAATGTAGCATTTATAAGTGAAAAAAGTTCACGACTGATTTATTTGCACTATCATGCACTGCAATGTTTTGATGCATTTGTAGTTCATCAAATATTAGTCTTTGCTATATTTCAGCAATCCTTTAATAAATTAACGTAGTGTTTTCAGTATTCAGAAGTATTGTGCTTACATTTATATTTGTCTAATGAATAATTGATTTCTTCAAGGGTTCAATTACACGTAAGTAAAATCTGAACTAAGATCGTGCCACATTTCCAAGCTTTTTCACAGTTGAATACAAGTAATATCTATGAATCTTCAAGATTATGCAAAATGAAGCTTGACTAAAAGTCTCCTGAGTGAACCTAATGAATTGTTTCGGAGTCCAGCATTTTTAAAACTATTCTTATGATTCTGAAGATTGCATTCATTCTTAGTAATTGTGTCTCTTAAAAAATATCATTAATTCATATCAGCTCTTTATATCAAATTTAATAAATTAATTTACTGATTTTAATTCTATTTGTTTATTTTCATCTTTAAATATAAAATAATATCATTCTTTGTCAATCTAGGAAAGCGGTTTCTGTGTACAATAGGTTAAGAGAATCAATTACTCAAGTTCTTTTTTATAGAAACGTATTCATTTCTAGTTTTCAAATGTTGCAGGATTTATCTTTGCTCTTTTCCTACTTGTGTCAGATATGTAATTTCAGATGTTGCTGTCAAAAATCAATCAGCTATTTCATATATTTGATAATTGCAATATTTCTCGTTGATTTTTTAATTGATTATTTTAAAATTTGAACAGAGATTGTGACACATACAGTTGTGACAATCTTGCAAAATTAGGTTTTGTTAATCAATTATATTTCTATTTTATTTATTAGAAAATAATATATTACTATTTAGTAAGCATTGTACTCACGTAATTTTGTGAAGTCATTCTCTTTTAATCCTAATATTTCATTTTCAGCATATAATTATATCTAAAACGTGTGCCCTCTAGCGTGGCAAAAATAATTTCAATTGCATTTAGTCATATGTATTCCCCATAATTTTTAAATTATTAATAATTTAAATATTTTAGGTGTATAACTTGACAACTAAAATAATTCATTAACTTATTTTCAATTTCAGTACAAGAATTAATTTTAAGAATTGTTGAAAAACATTGTATCATTGTGCTAATTTCTGCAGCAAAAGTGTTGAATAAAACCATGTTAAAAAATATAATTTTTCAAACCTGGTATTACTAGACAATATTAGTCAATACCTAAAAATGGTGACAATATACAGACTAAGATGTATTCATCTTTTCTCAAGTTCAGAAATGTATATATACATTCGGTATATAATTGTTAATTGAATGAATTTGCGAACTGCGAACTTTCATGTAATTGCATATTTTTTGTAGCTGATGTCTTTCACTAACTTGAAATATGTCCTAGAGCAAAATATTAGTCTTAGATAGAAATCTTTTGCATAGAAATAATGCATATTTTGTGTATACTAGAAATTTGGGACATTTTGTTTTTTATTGCACATTTTTCAACTTTTTGGCACATAAAACATTTATTTTTTAGTAAAAATTATTAATTAATGCATAGCATAATGTTTTATGGTTCATGCTGGGATAGAGAACTGATGGTTACAACGGCTAACTTTCAGGAATCAAGTTTTTTTAGAATGAGTATATTATAAAATGAGAAAATGATTTAGAATACATTGACTGTAATCTCATCTGTATGAAAGTGTTTATTTTGAGTTTTTATGATCAGCGTTTGCAGACTGAACTTTACTTCAGAAAACCATATTTACAATTGCATAGTTGTAATTTGAAATTTGGAGCTTGATCTAAGAAAATATGAAATTTTCTTTCTTTGATGGTTTGAGTTTTAATGTACAGAACAATATTGATTGCCCTTTTTTATACATTCAAAATTATGTCACTTTCATAAATTAGTAGGAATTAACAATTTTTATTTTTCCAAACTTTGTAATGTGTATATAATTGGTATCCCACGTACCAAAGCAAACTTCATGCTGTGAGGTGAACATTTTGTTTCTATAATAGGTATTATAGAAAATTATAAAAAAAATTGAAGACTGCTGGCTTTGATTGTCACAGATTTTTATGAAAAATATCGTAAATAAAAATTTTATCTAGTTTTGGGGTACATTATCCTACTATACAATAACAACATTTTAGAAATGAGAACTGTGGATTTGAACTGTCCCTTGTGTAAAAATTTAATTTCATTGCGTTTTCTTAATAAAACTTTATAATTTGGGAACACTTATTATATGAAAAATATAGTTTCGGTTTGATGTAAAGAATCGATCATGATTAATGCATCGTCTTGTAAGTCTACTTTCCTCTCTGTGGTAAGAAGAATGTGCCACGTTTTTCCCTTTTCATGCGGAAAACAGGTGGTCACATTATAGACAATACAAACCTCGGTATTCTCTTTAATAACAGCAAGAATGGATTACGCGTTCAATATAATAACAAAATCGCAGTGCATAATAAACACAGAAATTCTCACAATGTCGTGGGTGCAACATGGAAATATAAAGAGCTGTTATTGTAGTGCTGTGGATGAGCTTCTGCATTAATGCCACAACTAATGTGAAGAAAACAAAACAAAATCTGCTTTGAAAATTGGGCGAGTTTTACTCTAAAACAAAAAAAACAGCACGCATTTACTCTATTTGTAACATTTATTGAAATTTCAGGTTTAGTGCATATATTATTTTCGACATCATGTAGGATACAGCCGACTTGGATGGCCAAGGTGGCGAAGAGCGCGTACCGATTCAGCGCTTCGCTCTGAAGGTCTCTGGTTCGAGTCCGCTCTGGGAATGATTGCTTGTCCCTTGTCTCTCGTGCATATGCTGCGCGGAGGCCTTCGCTTTCTGCTGATTCCAGATCAGAGGACTCCGGTAATTGGTGTATGGTTGAATACCTATCCCATCGGGATGTAAAGAGTAACCGGCTGTCACCTGGATAAAAGCCCTAGGAGAAGAAAATGAAGGATGCATAGGATAGAATAGTAAGGCTATGAGTAAACAGGGATACTTCGTAATGCTTTGTCATGTACCTACTTTCCGCTTTCATGAAATATTTGTGAAGAGTAATTAGAAGAGTTTTGTGTTCTTTCATTAGTTAATGTTAGATTATTTTCATTACGTTACACGCTGCTCCGATTTGTTCTGACGGAAAATGTATTGGCTCCTTAGAACATTTGTCGAGGAAAACATTTTCCCTAGTCAGGCAGAGGAATTGAGGACCTTTAACAGCAGACTAGTTACAGTGATAAATCGAACATTTAGTGTGGAACATAGTTCTGGCTGCAATTACTGAACTGGTCTTTTTGAGGCAAATACAGCCACCGGGCGCCTTTCAGGGGTGTCAATGTCGCAATTGATGCAAAAATATTACGGCTTTCTTAGAAAGAATTTTAATTTTCTCAATTTTCTATCCGTAGATGTATGTGTGTACTACAGTGGGCAACTGCTCTGGTATCCAAAGAAGAAAGGTTTCATTGTTCTTTATACAGAATGTCCGGGAAGGAAACGTTGAAACTTAAAGAATAAGCTCTTAAAACAATTTTAAGCATATTTTGTCTGATAAACTACTTGGATATTTCGCCGCTACAAGCACTCAAAAATTGGCCTGTAAAAATGCTTTCTAGGCAAATATTTGCATTGCAGAAGTATAGAAACGCTTCAAAATAATGTAAAATGTTTATTATTTACTATATAAATTAATGTATTTGTTCATAAAGAAAAATTAACTCAGAAATAAAAAAACATTCGAATTGCGTAACTTGGGTTCTTTTCTACTCTGTGTTATTTTTTCTTTCTGAACCAATACATTAATTTCTTGGACTATGTTGCCGGAATATGTTGCTGAAAGACGTTCGTATCTGTCTGATATTTTAATATTGTAGATTTTGCTGTTAGTGTAAAAAAAATAGACTCCTTAGTCCCACACATCTAAGTGACGAAGAAAAGTCTGACTAATTCTTAAACACAACAATTTTCAGCTCCCTCTTTGTGCATTAACTGGTGTTGAATTTTCATAAATTCACTGTACCATCTTCACTCACATCAACTATAATTGTATGGGCATTGAATGGCACATTTTTAGGAGCATCCGTTTTGCGGACATCCTGTACAGAGTGGTCCGTGGAAAATAATACTAAAATTTTAAGCAGCGGGAGCGGACACAGAATCGATCAGACAAGACAGCGTATAGGCTGAGTCACAAACGTGCTTTGGTCGGAATACGAACGTCGGATTATGTGGCTCACCGCTCCTCGACTAGCGTCACATACCTGCGTTTTCTCTGAAACACAAACGATATTTGCTCACGTGACAGAAACTCTATAAACTGAAGGTCACATTTCCGGTCGAAGAAGACGTGCTTGAAAGGAGATACAAACTCTGTCATAATTTTGCACCAGAGGTGGGGTAATTCCATCGATACATTGTTTCAGAATCTACGTCAAAACTACGTTTTTTGGCAACATTATTCGACCATCCGTCCCCGCGGACTCAGGCGGAGAGGGCGTTTTCATAGCGGCAGACCCATCGTGCCGAGGGAAGGCTTCTTCCAAGCGAGTCCCCTGATTTCGCAGCCCCCGGCGCTCGCCTTATTTGGTCGGACGTGAAAAGAGGCGGACGTGGGCGGAGTGGACTGGTGGTGCCGCCACCACGCCCACTGGGTGCGGGGCCCAGCTCGGCGCGTGACGCACAACCGCCCCGCCCACCTGACCTCCGCCCACTCGGCCCACCTCCTCTCTGCGCGGACCGCTGCCCCCTTTGTCTGCACCTACGTCTTCCACGCTCCGTCCGCGCACGTGACCGTCCGCTCACCCGACCGTCCGCTCACACAACCGGCCGCCCACGTGACGTCCGCTCAACCTGACCGTCCGCCCACCCTACCGTCTACCCCCACCCTACCCTACTGCCCGCCCACCCTACAGTCTGCCCACCCTACCATCCCCACCTACCGTCTCCACCCTACCATCCCCACCCTACGTCTCCACCCTACCGTCTGCCCACCCTACCGTCTGCCCCACCCTACCGTCTGCCCACCCTACCGTCTGCCCACCCTACCGTCTGCCCACCCTACCGTCTGCCCACCCTACCGTTCACCTGACCGGCAGGTCGACCGAGAGCCCTAACCGCTTCCCTTGGCCCGACCTCCGGGTTCAACCCTCTGCCCTCAGCTCTGACCAGTCACCCGGCAAACAATTGCCTCTATTACAGATGGTCCCAGGCGCCCTGCTGCCGCCCCCGCTGGCGCCCCGCTGCCGCCTCGCCCGCCGTTCCGTCCACTCGCCAGGCGCCTGGCGGTGCGCGCGGCGCGACCGACCACTGATGCATCGTGGGCGGCGTGTGCCAAGGGTAGTGCGTAAAACAACGGGAACTAAACGTGCCCGCCAAAAATAAAACACCAACTTCCAAATTGTATATACTGCCAACTCGATAACATTTCAGTCTACCTGGTGCGCCGCAGGCCCGCAATACACTCATTTAACAATTCAAAAGCACACAACAGAAACGAAACAATCACAGATGCGGTGCTGCGTTATTTAAAACCAAATTGTAGCATGTTTGTAGTCGCTATGAGTGAACGACATTGCCGGCTGCAATTACCCTTTATGTTTATTTAACCAATGCTGTGGAGTACCACGGGGAATATAGTTGATAGAAACGACCATTTTCTTCAGATACTATTTCTTTGGAGTACCCTACAAAGCAGAATAAGAAGTTCATTTCCTTGACTCCCTATCGCGCTTCTGTCATCTTTTTTTCTTTATCTCTCCCTCATTTCCGTCTCTTGCCTTGTTTCGATGCCTCTCTTCCCTTCAATTGATTGGTTTCTCATTCTCTTTTCACCTTCTCTTCTTAATCCTTTCAGAGTTTACTGTTTGTGTCCGTCGGTGTTGATTGACGTAAATTGACATTCTTTATACTCGGACGGTATATGACTTACGTACGACAATATTACATCAACACATAAATTAAGCTAAAATATTTGATTTCTGTATGAATAATATATAAAATTATGATGTGATAATTTCGCTTTACCGGGAACGGTGAATGTGCCGGTTAAACGGACAATATATACTCGTCCACATGAGTGTTTTCGACAGCGAGATTATATCGGAAACCAGAAAATCAGAACTGTTGCTGGACTGCGTGATCTAATTTTTAGAAGGGTATTAAGCATTCCACTTATTCGTTCAATGTAGGAAATCCATATCAACTCTTTCAAATAACATTTAACATTCGGTCGTGACAGAGTTAATTGGCAAAATACGATTTCTCTTTCTTTGAGATAAATTTTCACGAAAGCGTGTCCAGCGTGATATTTCCCCTGATATAGAAATGAGCATGACGACATGAAATATAGAATTTACATGTCACAAAGTGGCAGAATCGGTTTCTGCACTTCATGAGTTCACATTACAAAGTTTTTTCACAATCCATAGAAAAAGAAATAATTTCACGAGTCTTTCCACATTGACATGCGCTCATTAGCTTGACGAGCATTCGTGAGAACGAAGTGTTTTCAAGTTCAGAGAAGAGCTATTTCTGCGACGTGATTTAAAACTAGTGCCATTTCAATTTAACAAGTTGGGAAAACCGAAATATAATATTAGGTTAAGTTTAGTCCGTATTGTTTCGTAATTGTATAACAATATTATATTGTTCCTTACTTAAAAATAAATGAACCGAAAAGAAACTAAGTTGAAATTTAACTCGCATTTACCAGACGTCTGTGCTAAGAGTGAGTAATGAGAGTACCCGTCCTTCATCTTCTGTAGATATCTTTCATTTCGAAAAAAAATTATTACTTTTCAGAAGCATTTTTCTTTCTCTTAGTATGAATATTTCATTATAAAACTCATTTTTTGAAAACATTAAGTATATTTTTTAAAAAATTAATGATGTTACAGAAATGTTAGAAGTTTAGTTTCTCCCCAAGTAATGTAAGACTAAAATCATACCCCGCTTGTTTTCACTATCTTCCAATTATCCAAATATTTTGATTCGATATTGTGTGAACTAGTTCAAAACACATTAATATACGAAGAAGGATGTTCTCGCATCTCCTCGAAAAGATGTTTGTTCATCCTTAGTACTTTAATTGTTTTCACTGTTAAATTGTTGCCTTTTCGATTACCTCTGACAGATAAATAAATATTGAAGTATGTTCCTACCCTCTGCAGTATTCACCTAAATTCCTACATATTCGTGATTACGTATATACTGCATATACATCTAGTGATACAGTTCCAAATCGCCCGTCACCGGTCAGTGTTTCATTACAGTGTATATCGTCACGGATTGTTCTCCGCGCTTGAATGCGCGTGGTCGTTCATCGAACTTATAACTAGAGCACGGAATCGGAGATTTCAGGTGTCATGATCGTTTAAGAAAATACATATGTTTTGAATTTAGAGTGGGCGAAGCTCAAATATCTTTCAAATTAAGTTTAAAGAAAAAAACATGCACGGGTTGCGTCTCCGCACAGAGTTCAATGAAGCTCTTTATCTGGAGAGTTTTGCGGCATATCCAACTCTACGAGTATTAGTTGTATTTTAGACATTGCTATAGGCAAATAGAAATATTTGTAGTTTTCGGAAATGACTTAAAATTCTGATGAAGCTTAAGGCACACGGAACTTAATACTCCAGTAAATATATTTTAACTCGTCGTTTGTCGCGGGGGAGTAACGCGTTAATTTTAGATGTTAAGAGTTTGTCACTGTCATTCTGTTGAAGGTTAAGAGCCGAATTCTCACCTCGCTGGCCAAGCGACCTTCCCGTTCGACAAGATAAACCTTTCTCGGAAATCTGAGTCCTCTCTTCCGGTTGATGAAGCGTTTGCATTCCTTCGAGTCCGAAACACTGAGCGCGGAGCTCACCCGCGACCATCCGTGTGTTATAGTTATTAACGTCATTAGGACGATAATCACCAAGGCTGTTATTTGTGACATCGGCCGTGCGTCATTCATTACTTTTCGTAATACCATCTCCTTGTAAGAAAAAAATAATATAAATAAGAAACACCTTTACTTTTAGTACGTAGGATTGCAACGCAAACTTCCATTTGAAATCGTTACGATTGTTGCTTCAGACGAGACAGTTACAACAAGACCAAGATTTTATCGTAAGAACATATTAGAAAATGACAACTAGAAGCTTCAAAGTCGCTACAACATTCTGCCAAATGGGTACTTAAAAAACATTATAATTTTAGAGGTCATGTCGACGAGATAAACTTGAGTCATTGACTATTGGTGATATTTAAAACGAGGAGAAATGGCGTGCTAGTAGAACTTGATTGCACAAAAACTAAACAAAAAATATCATCCTCATGTAATGTATGTATTGTATTTAATAACTCTCAAAAGGCCGAAGGGCCAAACGGGTAAAAAATAAATTTAAAAAACCTATGCTAAAGAAAAGTGATCGTCTAGTAAACCTATGAAATTTGTTTTGTAGGAAAATCTTTCCAAATTTTGTCACCACCCTGATGTATTATAATGCATAGCATATTGTTCTTGTCGGTCTCCCCCACCATATTAGAGAGATCATAACAAATTTATAACCAGTGATTTACTATGCCACTAATGTTCCCTTACAGTTTATCCCTGAATTTTGAAAATACCTGACAATTAAAAGTGGTTAATAGCGTTAATTACAATGTGGGTGTACAGTTGGATAAAAGAGTTGGCCCTTAAGATTGGAGTATCAACTCATTGTTTTTTTCTGCATTGACATGCAAGCGTTTGTGGCAGTATACGGAAAATATCCAAGCAACATTTGACGTTGCTTGCTTCCCCCTTGTACTTATCTCTATAACTTTGGAAATATCCGTCGAAGAGGTTTGAGGTCGTTAGAGCGTGTAGCAAACCATAACGCCTTCCTCGATGAGCCAGGTCACCCGATCGAATCTCTCTTTGGCCGTGTGTGTTCGTGCCTTAACTTTCGTGTGTGTGTGCAGAGTCCTTGTGTTTAGCTGACCGCACAGCCAAGGGGCGCGCATGTATGTTAGTGTCTAGTATATGGTTTAGGGTACACCTAATTGTAGAATAGAAGGTGGGTTGCTTCGAAAATAAGAAAACCCTCTGAAGGTTGGTATCAGCATGATGAATTTTCCTATTGCTCTATGAGTTCCATTCCCGTTCGTGTGCTTAGATTTGAGATATTTGTAGTTGGTGGTATTGGCTAGTAGATTATATCATTAATTGCTCCATTTAATGAGTGATATATCGTAATGAGTTTTGTTTAGTCAACAGCGTGTCAAGTAGCATTTCGTACTGCACTTTTCGGTTCGTAGGCATTTTCTACCAGTTGTCAACAAAATTTGCAATTGTTTTACACATCTTTTCATAATTATATTTATTTGTTATCGGTATATAAAAATATAGTTATATAATTATATTATATAACTATAATATTAGAGTTATATTTACACATTACAATGTATTTTTTTATTTTATTTTAAAACCTATTATTGAGATTTAACAGATGCACTAAAAAAAAGTACATTTTTTCTTCCATTTTTTTCGTACACACAATTTTTTGTTCTGTCCTATTTTTATTTATCACTGATTAATTACTGTTTAAAACAAGATATACAGAATTTGGGAATAATAAGACAATATATTGTAATAATGATAAACTAATTGTTTGTTCAAAAACAAAATTGGAACCTAATTTTTCTACCATTTTTCTACTTTGATTGTATTTGGAATGTAGTTTTTAATGCTTTTTTCTGAAAACGTTAGATTATTTTTCAAAACAAATATATTCCATTTGTTTCAAATTCAAGAAAAATTACACTCAACTTCGTGACATAAGTTCTCTACCTTTTCATAACATTTCTCGACTTACCTGTAAAAGTATATGTTGCAATGGTCTAGCATTTAGTACTTGATGCACTTGCGCATGCAAGAGCCATTTGCGGAGGGTTAATAAGAATAGTTATCAAAATGCCTACGGATTAGAATCAATGGATCTCCTAACTTGTGACCGCACGTAATCGAGTGCTATTTGTTAGTTGCGTAGTAAAGTGCTCCATTGCTGGCGCATTATAGATTCTGACGGTCTGTGGCGCGCGTCCTGCCCTGTCAGTCGCTTGTGTCTCTCGTCCACTCGCCGTGCCGCCTGGGCCTGGCGAGCGGGCCACACAGATTGCTCAGCGCTAGAACGGCGCACCGCGGCCACCAGACAGGTTACGTGATATGTCCCGGGATAATGTTAAAACGTTGCTAGTAACGCAATATTATAACTTCCTTTTTGTTGGCTCAAAGATAGATGATGGGATCTAAAGGATACATGCAGTAAATTTTCCTCCGCACGATTTCTTACAGTAGCCATTTCGATAGCTGT